GGATGACCCACAGGGCGTTTGCATCCTCGAGGGTACCACTCGGTTAATCTTACTGTCCATCTGTTATCTTTACATCTTGTCACGTGTCCAGCCCATGATTGTTTCTTTCGATATATAGTTTTGACAACATCATCAACGTTTGTGCGTCTTCTCAGCTCTTCGTTGTTTACTCGGTCTCTTAACGAAATCTTGCACATCCTTCTTTCCTTATGCCATTGTTCACTATTTTTTCTCATCGTTTTCCGTTGTCGCCCAGGTTTCTGCTGCATATGTGAGGGTTGGTAATACCATTGTGTTGAAGAGAGTTGAACGATCTTTCATTGCTAGTTCTTCATCTGTAAGGCTTCTTTTGTATCTGCCAAAACTTGTCCATGCTGCTCGAATTCTTCTTGATATCTCATCTTTCATCCCGCCATCTTTGTGGACCAGTTGTCCGAGATAAATGAACGATTCTACCTCTTCGATATGCTTTCCATCCAAATCAATATTCCCTGTTCCGCAGTATCGGTTCATCGCAACTTTGTTTCTCGGTGAATCAGGGCGGAAGTGGTGTAGTGACAAGTGGCGCGCTCACCACGCGAGCGGTCCGGGATCAAATCCTGGGTCGTGAGTCGCCCGGGCCAACCAAGCCTTCCATCCGGGGTCGGTTAATTGGTACCAGACTTGTCTGGGAGGATAAAAACACTGACTTGAACATCGGCTGGCCCCCGCAAGTCATTGTATAGGCCACATCGCATTCAAATGCCACTGCGAATGTACAAATGGAAGTAGAATGCGTGCCGCATCCCAAAAAGGGATTGATCAACGGCAAATGCTTTATCCTTTATCCTTTATCCTTGGGTAATCTGTAGACCAACTTTCGCATGCTTCTACTTGTAGATCCCCAATTTCCTCTGCAGCTCCATTGTTGTTGTTGCGAATAATATACAATCGTCCGCATATAGAAGATGTGTGAGCGTTTCTCCATCTATTTTGACTCCCTCATTCCATTCCAAATTTCGGAATACAGCATTAATTACCACAGAGAAAAGCTTCGGTGAGATACACAGTCCCCTTGTCGTACACCTCTTCTTAGGTCGACTTCACATTCTTCATCGAACAGTTTGATATTGGTAGTGCTTCCTCGATACATTTCTGCTATGATGTTGACATAATTGGAATTAATTCCTATTTGACGAAGAGAGTTAAGAATTGCATTCGTCTCCACTGTGTCAAAAGCTTTCACAAAATCCACGAAAAGGCAGCATACCGGCAATTGGAATTCTCTACTTTTCTCAAGCAGTTGTCTCAAAGCGTGGATGTGATCAATTGTGGAATAGTTTTTCCGAAACCCTGCTTGTTCCCGATCTTCATTCTGTTCTATATCCTGTGATAATCTATTGAGCAATACTCTCGTGAAAGTTTTGTATAGCTGAGATAACAGCGAAATCGGGCGGTAGTTACTTATTTCTTCTTTATCACCTTTTTTGAACAGAAGAATTGTCGATGATTTTTTCCATTCACTGGGGAGCTTGACTTCTTGAGCATATACTGTGAATCTTCGAGCAAGCGATTTCGCTAAAGTAGTACCGCCGGCCTTGAGCATTTCTGCCGTTATTCCATCTATTCCAGGGCATTTTCCGTTCTTTAATTTTGCAAATCGCAGCTTCTACTTCATCTGTTAAGACAGGTTGGAATTTCCTCCGGTTGAATTGCACAACGTCTTCTTGTATGAGGATAACCGAACTGTACAGTTTGTTGAAGAAGCTTTTGCATATTCGTGTCATGCCACTTCTAGTGAACACTCGACTTCCACTTTCATCTTTAAGGGCTAGTGGTATCTTTTGCTTTAGTTGGACTTCTTTTGTTATCTTTTTCAGCCCCTTGTTCGCTTTCACAGCTTCTCTTAATTTCGGGTCCTGTAGTTATCATGTCTGCCACTACCATTCTCGTAGCTGCTCACATATCGTAGTATCTTCGCACTATAATTCCTTGTCCTTCAAAGCGCCTCCTCTGAAATTGTAAAGTCGCATTCCGATAGCCGGTTTGCCTTCTCACTGCGCGTCTACCCCGCCTCCAACAGACTCCTTATGGTTTAATAGCTCTGAAATCATCGTCGAATCTTACAGAGCTTCGAGCGGATGACTTTTGAACCTATTCGTCGACTTCTTGCAAGTATTCTGGATTCCAGTGCATTGTCTATTATGATGGTACTTCGAATCATTCTGTGGTCACTGTTGTGGCAATGATGTTCTCACCGATTACGCTAACATCTTGAAAAATTCGTTGAACGTTGGAAAACACATAATCAATCTGCTTTTTTACTGTTCCGTTCGGACTTTTCCAAGTCCATAATCTTTTTTCAGGCTTCATGAAGAATGTATTCATGATGCGAAGCCTATTTGATGTTGAGAAATTGATCATCTGTTCACCGCGCTCATTTCTTTCTCCGTACCCGAATTTTCCCATCTCTCTACCATCATTTTCCGTTTTTTTGCCCACAGATGCATTCATATCGCCTTGAACAATTGTGTATGTTGATGGAATCCGTAAGGCTTCATTTATTTCTTCATAAAACTGTTCTACTTCTTCATCGTCATGCTGGCTTGTTGGCGTATACCTGTATAATCTTCATAGTTTCGTTTCCGTCCAACTTTTAGAAGTAGTATTGCGACTCGCGGCGATCCTGATTTCAAACAGCTTACAACTTAATGAAAACTCTTATCTTTCAACATAAACCTAAACCCTACCCGTGCGGTAATTTGAAACGCTCAGAAGAACCCTCTCCTGTATCCATTGCAAACATTCTTCGTTCCGTCTTGTTTCACTTACTCCTATCACGTCGGCTTTAATTTTTCTCGTCTCCTGAATGTACACATCAGTAAGTGCATCAGATGATAACGTTCGGACGTTGTGACAAGCAATATATATTTTGACAGTTCCATTGGCCGTAGTCCTTATGACGTCCTGAGCATCCCGCAAATCGTGGGTAGGTGTCAAGCCGACGCCGGAGCCTGACCCCATCGATTTGGTTCCAATCTTCTCTATTTCGGTTCGTAGCTAATATTTTTGCACCAGTCCATTCGGGGTTGCCAGCCCCTCGTGTCCTATCGATGCGATTTCGTCCCGTGAGGCGAAATCCGGCCCAGTAGAAATCGGAGCACGGGCACTCGGTGAAGCTTTTGCTTGTACGACAGGTCACTTA